TCACGGGAAGAGATCAGGCTGAATGTGACTGCCACGTTCTGCTTGAGGTGCGCAGAATTGATGCCGAATGGGATGCACTTGTGTCCCGGGTGCGCGCTCCCGGTCTTTTACCCGAACTTTATCCCCAACGCGGAGGAAAAGGACTTCGAAACGTGCCACATCGTGCCGGAGTGGGTGAGGACCATGGGGCAGTTCAAGCCCAGGAGGATTCCCTCCGAAGTGGTCGGAGTCATCAAGAGGAATTTGATTTCCTATTCGATGGCATCCGATCTAAGGATGACGGTGCAGAGCGGCATCAGACTTCCCCCTTATCTTGGTGAAGACAAGGGAGGTGTCGATGCGGCGTGGGATGAGCTGGCGAAGGTGCTCTTCCAATTCTCCTATGTGTCCGGGATTTCGGCCTCGGATGCGTTTGTGGAGAAGTGGGTGGCGAAGCACCTGATCAAGACCAACCAAGTCGATAGATTTGAGTCGGTCACGGAGTACTTCCGGGCCAACCCAAGACACGCTGCTCAGTGGGGTAGGCGTATGACGACTTCCGTTAGGAAGTTCGCTCGTCATGACACGTACTTGTCATTCTATATTCCGATGGCATACGTGATTGGTTCTGCGGCTGGTCATCTGACCCCATTGTACCCGACCCATCGAAAGGACGTGGACATCCTGGAGAGTCATGCGTTGATGTCGCAGCTCAGGGGGTACATGGTATCGGAGACAGGGTATGATGAGAAGAAGAGGTTGAAGGAGGCGATAGCCAAGGTGCAGAAGGCGATCAGTGCCGGACAGTCAGAGCCTCCCGCACCATTCCGTGACCCATTCGTCTACGTTAGCGACGAAAGGGTGAGGACGGTTCTTGACGGTCGTCAACCCGAACCATTGGACGTGGACATCGAGGGACTCCAATCGGTGCATCATGCTGCGCCGGGTCCTGGTCCCAAGCAGGAGCCGGTCCCCAAGGGCGGAAAAGGAAAAGGGAAAAAGGGGGAAAAGGGCGGTAAGGGCGGTAGTCCTTCCGGCCCGCCACCAAAGTCAGGTGAAGTGCCGAGTAAAGGATCCGGTAAGGGCGGTAGCCCATCCGTCCCAAAGGCGAAGGATGACGCTGGACCTGCTCCGATGGAGGTTGATGCAGCAGCAGCTCAGCCGAAGAAGTCTTGGGCCGAGATGGTGGTTGAAGGGGCCAGGCCGAGTGCCAAGGCTAAAGTGACCCCGGTTCCCAAGGCAGAGCCGAAAGGGAAGGCTGCTTCGGCATCTGAGGCGAGGAGTGCTCCGGCTCCAAAAGCTGTGGCTAAGGAGACGAAGCAGGCCGAACCGAAGGTTGAGGTCAAGAAGGAGAAGACAGGCGGAGGTGACGCTCCCGGCGGTAGCCGCGGGTCGGCCGAAGGGCAGAAGAGAGAAAGGAAGTCCCGTTGGGATCCCGACGAGGCTGCGAAGGAGTCGACAAAGCGGGAGGCATCCACGAGGCCTGGCGACGTCGACAGCAGACCAGGTGCGGCAGCGAGAGAGGCTAGCGGGGATGATCTTCACTCCGCGCTTGGCAGATCTTTGGCAAAGGACGCGGTAGCGCCTTTGACTGCCTCCAAGGCAATGGCAAAGAAGCCTGAAGGCGGGGAGATCCGGCTGCAGTCTGCTGAGCGGGCCGCGGCGAGCCCGGTGGAGGGTCACTTCCTGGTGCTGCCTGAGAGTTCGGTGGTGGACGCTTTCTTGACGATCTCCACCAACAGAGTGCTGAACAAGCAGGTTAGGGATTTCATCAGAAATGGTGAGGACGCGTCGGCACTGGAAGCTCTCAACCAGATCGTGACGAACTCTCAATCTGGGAGGAGGCGTAGGGAATCGGATGTTTCCCGTACTCCTTCTCGGAGGTCCGTTAGGACCGTGGACACCAGGGATTCCAGAGAGTCGAGGAGGCGCAGATATCGTCCGCGGCGCGAGGATGATCGCGACAGGAGGAGGGACGATGCTCGTGATCGTCGTGATGATGATTCACTCGATCGGGAGCGGGATCGAAGGCGAGATGATCGCAGGAGATCCGAAGGGATCGTGATAGGGACCGTGCGCGGGGCGGACGTGACCGGAGGAGACGTGACGATAGCCGGTAGGCTGAGTCACGAGGGGTGCGGCCGATAGGCTTGCGTCCGTTCTCCAATGGTCGGCGCGGTGTGGAGGTGGTGATGTTCCTCCCGGACCGCTGAGGCGCGGAGGTCATGTCTCTCCCGTACCGCTGCTGAGCTGCTGGACGTGCTCATCCGGAAGCAGTGTGAGTGAGAGGGAAAGCAAACTGATGGGGGGTTACTCCCGGATTTGCGGAATTCAAGCATTTTTACAGGTACGCATGGTCAGGGGTATCTCTTGCCGTTAGGCGAGGATACTATTGGACATACGTTATCTTTCTTTTCATGGCTTCTGATAAGAATTAAACTTCTTACATTGTTGATGCAAACAGTTGTGACCTAGTGTCGTCATGTGGACCTTTCCACAAGGTGTGTTGGACAGCGTTACCCCGATTAATTCGGGGTGGTGGCGGGAATTTAATGCCCGGGATGTCGCGCAACTGCCTTTGTGGGTTTGCTCCACCGCTGACGGCGGTAGTGTCCAGCTGTTTGCGGACACATGCGAGCAGTTAAATCCTATCAGTAAATGGCACGCTCCACCCGTCATATGACGGGCTCCTCGTGAGGGGGGTGTGATTAGCCATGGTTAATATCATCATCAGGGACGTCGCGTTAGTGACCGACCTGTGGTGTTTTGGCTCAAGTTTTGGGTTCCGTCGCGCCTCGAATGGGCGTCGCCGAACCCCTGCGTCGACCGACGGCATCTCGGGGGAGAAAGAGACCTCGGGCCGCCGCCAGGTTGGTAGGGACCAGTCGTGCGGCCTGTTGTCGACCAAGGTTGCGGGTTAACCCTTTTCTTGTTTGGTTTGTTTTCCTTTGGTTGTTGTTCTCTGGTGTGTGGGAAACCCTGATCTTTGGGACCGGGGATTGGTTTGCTTTTGGGGAACCTTTCTTTTGTGGCTTGTTTACCCCAACTAACCCATTGCCTGGGCACAGGCTCGTGCCCGAATCACATGTTTGTCTACCACAGCCACATTTGGTGTACAAACACTTCCTTTTGTGTTTTTTTTCTTAAGAAACTGTTGTGCTGTCTATGCACAGACCCCTAAGGTTTCAGTGAGCCTTGAGCCTAGGGCTCAGGTTTCGATGGAGAGCATCTACTGGGCACTTGGGGTGGTTCAGCCAGTTTTCATAGTCCATTTCATGCAAGTTTTCAGTCTTTTCGGTTTGTCTGTTAGTACCTCATTCCCGTTGGACCTGTAAAGGGGGCTATGGGGCGGGGCTATCCCAGCGAGGCCGTAAGTGGTAAAATAAGGGAGTTGCGCCCTTGAGGGTCCATCAATAGACTAGGTCCCCCAGTAGGGCCCTTTGGCCCTTTTTTTGGGGAGGGTTCCCCTACTGAAATAGACTACAGAACAAAGTTGGTACCCTTATTCTAACCTCTCTACTGGAAAACCTAGTAGAGCTTCATTCATTTGAGCCCGTCCCTCCGAGTCCGTCTCCGTGGACGCTTCGGGCTGGAGCCCCTACAGCTCCGGCGTGGCAGACTTCTGCCCCACGGCTCTTTGGCATGAGGGGGGGGTGTGCAAGTTCAAGCCCGCAGAGTGCAACCGAATTTGTGTACCCCATATTAATCGGCCAACCGGTTTAGTAATAGGCTGGTGGGGGCCCCTCCAGGGACACCTCCCCCTAGGGTTGATTAATGGTGGGGTCAACATCTTGCGGGGGTTGATCAATATTCCATTTAGGGGCCCCCAGTTTTGACCGCGCGTGTTTCTTTTCCCATGTGGATCTTGGTGGTTTTCCGACCAATGGTCATCCCATTTTTTCAGGACCTTTTGATCAACCCCATATTTGGACTTAGGAAGTTATTCAGGTAAAGGCTTGGAAAAAGAACATCTCCCTTAAGGTTATTCTTAAAAAGTGAGCTTGTCTTTGGGTGACAGGGGGAGGCCTTTTTGTTGGGGATCGGGGAGCATCAACAAGTGGCCATGGTTCAAAACCAATGGTACCATTTTAAGGTAGGTGCACCACCCATTTTAGCCTATTTGAGTGGGGATTGGGATGTTCACTGGGGGTACGGGGTTTTGACCCATGGCCAAATATATATATATATATATATATATAATATGTATATATATATACATATATATATATATATATACATACATATATATATATATATATATCTATATTTACCGGATCAACGAAATTGATTTAGGGGATCAAATGTGCTGTGTGCCTTCCGGCTCGAAGAGCGAGAGGCAACCCTAGCCGTATACGGCTGACCAATTTTCTCGGCCAAGTCCTTCGCATCCTGCATTATCCCCACCCCCTTACATATGGAATTGGGGGAGGGGCCTTGGAATTCCATTTGTAGCTCCATTTCCTTTGTAAGGGGAAGACTAGATAACTGGAATTGTGGACCCCCCAACCCCCTCCCCTTATGCTAGGGGGGATCCTGCATTCGGACGCAGGCCAGCCCAGAAATCTGGAACGTCCCCCGACATCCGGCCTTGCAACGGGCTCCCGATGCCATTTTGCCGAACCCTCGAACCACACAGTAAATATCGTCCAACTCGCCTGCAGCAGCTGTCAGCACCCCCACCAACGTCCCCTACATCCTCGCCAACCTCATCCCTAGCACCCGCCTGGAGTACCAAAGGTGGCGGTTCCAGTCGAACGGGCACATAGCAACGTTTCAAGTGGCCCAAGCATTCTGAAAAGTAGGGAAAACTGGCCCGCAAAAACGGATGGACGTTCCCCACATGAACGATACTCCCCAACAGGTCGCTTAGATTCATTCCCAAGTCCGGAGGGCTACAATCTCGCTCGCCAAGTTGATGGCTTTGTGTACAAATCGTGACACATGCCGCCAGTGAATCATCTTCATCCCCCACAGCAAGATTTGGACCTTGGCCTCTCCTAGCTGTTCGGCTGTGGCTTAGCATGTTTCCACCTAAGATGCAGCAATGGCGCCTGAGCATGCTGACCATTGAGCGGAACATGCGCGCATCCCTCGGAACGGAAGGCTGAACAGGGCCAAACGTGAGTTCTGTAGGGCAGCACGCGGTGGCGATTGCGAGCTGGGAGGTTGGGACACGGTGGGGTCGATGGTTTTCTTGGGTGTGTGGTGTTCTCGCCTCCGACTCGAATCCACCAACCATGCTAGCCCCCAGAAAATAGTTCAAGCAATACAACCAAAAAACGTCAATCTGCAAGGAACAAACACAACCCTACACTAGCCTAGGTTTCTCTATAATCCTCCGTGCAACACTTGTGCTTGGTCCAATATCACTGTTCTATCAATCTTTACATCCATGGCAATCAGCATCTTCCTTTGGGGTACTTGGCATGGACTTCAGGACAGTTCTACACAAGCCACCCATTCCAATTGCAAGAGGTGACTGGAGGATGGTTGCACTCACAAATCCACCCTGAATCCTGGGTGTGGATTGAATGCGTGAGGACGAGAACGTGGACATCGATCATGCGGTGGTCTTGGTGGCCTACGGTGGGGATGGCGACAACAAGTACTGGACCATCAAGAATTCCTGGGGCCCGACTTGGGGGGTGCCCTGGCATTGGACATTGGACCCGGCTCGGGCGCCAAATGGGTTGGGAACATCTGCTGCGCCGAAGGGGTTGGACGTTTTTTCTTGTGCTCCATGTGTTCCATGGAATGTTTGCCCGGGCGAGCCGGGCGAGCTGTCAACTGGGCATGAGCATCGCGAACGGGATTGCTTCCAGGTTTCCCCCCCAGCCATGGCAGTCCATTTTTTGGGTTGGGCCGGTGGGAATGGACGCACTCGTCGATCTGACGGCAAGGGCGGTGACTCCTTGAGAGAGCTTCCTGCGTGAGCTGAGGAGAAGGGCTACATCCGCCTGAAGCGCCATGACGATGAGGGGAAACACTGCGGCTGGGACAAGACCCCTTCCCATGGCAGCCTTTGCGCAGACGAGGAGGAGAGGCTTCGGTGAGCGCCTTGCAACCCCCGGTTTTTTTTTGGGTTGCAGGTCGCCGCGGGTAAAAGCGACGGCAACCAGACGCTGCGTGTTTTTTGTTCTTTCTAGGAAGATTGGAGGTCTGCATGCGCTGAATGGGGTGAGGTGTTTGTATTTGTCGTGTGGCATTTTTTTTTTGTTAAGTTTTGCTTCAGACTGACGATTGCACTGGTCGTATCGGGGGCCTTCGCTGGCCGTGAAACAATGATGATTCATGGAGACAAAGACTTGTGCAAAGGAGCGCCTTATTTTCTGCTCAGTTGACTACATCTTGTTTCAGGCAAGCCCCCCTCTGAACTTGTTGGTGGGTGCTGGTGGTGCCTTGGGTATGGATGTTGCTTGCCTTTTGTGTCTTGGTTCGTGGCTTTTGCATCTTCTGCCCAAAGGCTCGTTTTGGCCTTTGGGACTTGTTTTGAAGGAAGCCACAAGGGAGTCAAAATTCAACCAGGAGACCACAGCTTTTACTCCATGTTTCCATCTACCAGGGTTTCATTCTGGGTACCTATTTTTGACCCACAGCCAAAAGGGAAACCGTTGCGCCCACGTCGGTTGCCCCCCCATAGGACAAGCCCGAGTGGGTCTGCGGCACCTGCGGCGTTTTGTTCGACACCTCCCACCCCGTGGGCAGCAAGGCGAGCGCTTTTTCGTTTGTAAGGTTTTGGCTTGCGACCTGCTTATTTCTGCAGTTATGGCGAGCTCTTACATATTCGGGGGGAAAATCGAGCTCATCATAAGGTCCTTTGTCTGGGATCTCTTAGTTCAGCATTTGGAAGTGTAGTCACAGTTGCAGAATTATGCACCCAGATGGTTTGTGAGAGGGAGAGAGGGCAAGCACATGCCTGTGGGCCTGTTTGGCCAAGAAGCCGAGAGAGTGGAAAGGGAATCAACACAAGAAGACATTGGCCAGTGGCGTGATTCCCACGTTCAGGGCTTGGTATATTGCCAGCACCGCAGCTTCCTTTCTTAGTCCTTAGAAGTGCTTCCGCCCGTTTCACTTGTCAGTGCTGATGGCTCTCAAACAGGTAGGCCAAATCCAAACCAGAGACCCCATCCAGGTGGTGGGTTTCATGTACAGATGTCGTTTTCGATGCACCCAACAGCCCTTCTCATGCCCCATCTCTGACAAAACATCAGAAGGACACCAACATGTCGGAAGTGTCGTAGCTTGTCTCCTTCGCACCATGAGAAGCCCTGGCTCCCTGTCCTATGAAAGACTCACCCCATTCAGGGCACCTGCCATGTGTGCAACTTTCCAAGCTTCCTTTAAACTCAACCAAATCGGATGCCCTTTCTTTTTCCCCCATGGAACTCCTCTCGGGGCATTTGGGCCACCCGCCAGGTGATCGGCGCCTCCGAGGGAGATGTCGACCGCTGAGCAAAACGGCGGCGGCCGGGCAAAGGTCCCCGGCTCTCCGCTCGTCGCGGCTGACCGCGCGGCTGACCGGCGCGGAAGACACCAGTCACTCTGGTGTTTCCCTTGGTACGTGGATATGCGTTGGAGAGCACCAGCCTCCAAACCGAGGGCGAATTAGATGCAGAACTGAGATGGCTGGAGATCGAAGCGCTGCGGACGCATTTGCTTCCTCCATCGCAGGGTTTGGAGAGAGGGTCAATGAAGCACCTTGGCTCATCCAGAGGGACGCCTCTTTTTCACTGAACTACAATTGAAGTTTCTCTACATGTCGTCATCCCGCGAAAGAGCCCTTCCCAGACTCTCACGACGTTTTCACGCACTCCGTGCGATTGCCCGCTTCTCAGACCATGTGTTGTTTTGCCCCTGCGCAGACAGGCTCTGGGGTGGTTTGGAGCAGCTTTCAGGGGGGGAGCCGGAGGGTTCCGCGCTTGGGGATGCCCCCTAGGCTTATTGAGCACACTCTTTTTGGGGTTGCTTTTAGGGAGGGAAACCGAAGCCCATAAAGCCCATAATGAACTCCAAGGGTTCAGGAATTTGATGTCCACTGGCTCGAGCAAGTTGTTGGACATGAACCTCCCCACCTAAATGATTTTCAGCGGGCAGAAGGTTGGTTCGGCGTCTTTTGGTTTCCAACAACGAAACATCCTCAAGCTTTGGCTTTCTGCTGCCAGGCTGCTCAGCGGCTCGAGCCTCACCTGCTTTCTCCAGGACCCAAGCTTCACGGTTTCCAGGTTTGGGCCAGGCCATGGGTTGCCGTGTTGACCTTCGAGGGTTTGGGATCCATCCGGCATGGCTGAAAAAGTCGGCATGAGTCGCATTCTGTAATATGCACTGAGCCATGCCATCTTCGGAGCCTTTTTGAGGGACTCCCAGTTTCTTGCAACCCAAAAGCAACCTTGCGTGGCTCTACCTGCAGGTAGGGTTCACGTCTCGCTCCACGTCAATCTGAGGGTTTTTGTATTACACCCTGGCATTACTTGGGAAATGACCCATGGTTCAAAATTGCACTGTGCCTAAATTTTAGGTCAATACCCCGTGGGTGTATTCGAGTCAAGCTTCATGGACCTGGCTTTGGCTCTCAGTATCGGATCTGCTGTTCGCCTGCAGCTTGCGGATCAAGGGATGCTGCATGTGCTTCAAGTCATTTCGGCCAATGGCGGAGAAAGCAACTGGAGTTTCCAGGTGTGAGAGGCCACTCGGGCATTGGTTACAGCTGCAACTTGTCAAGCAGACGGCAGTCAGCGAGACAGAAACACACACCCGTTCCACTTTCCGGCTGATAGAGAAGATGAATTGAGGGAATGCCTCCATTGCCCGAATAGCTCATGCCGCCAGGGCAAGGCTTGGAAGTCATTGATTCCCAGCCACCAGACTCTGCCACGTAGCCTTGCCGCTATGCCTTGAGAACGCCATGCCCCAGGTGGGGAGCAACCGCCAAATGCGAGTGGAGCTCAGTACAACATCAACAGTGGTGTGGGCATCATTCCCTCCTTCCCCGCTCAGAACAAGCAAGACAAATCAACAAATCATGCAGGGCGTTCTCAAATGCTGGACCCTGGGTCGGTACTTGAAGCCGAAGCCAAAAGAAGCGATGTTAGGGAGCCACTTTTGCGAACCCCACTCCCTCGGCACAGGCCGCAGCCAGTTGTCTGGGACGTAAGGGACTGGAGGAATTCCCACGGTGACTGCAACTGCCAGGAGATCCCAAGAGGTTGTCTTTGGGCGTCGGTATGAAATTGGCCGCTGGAAGGGTTGATCAGGGCGTCCATGACCTACTGATGGACAGAATCCTGCACCAGTTAAGAAACCCTGGAATGATGATTCCCCTGTAAATACCAAGGAACAGGGGTTCCCCTGTTTGTCAAACTGGTGCAGGATTGCGTCTATCCACAGTAGCTTCAGATATACTTGTTGGTTTTTTTCAGGTGGAAGCTGGGTAATACCTGGATGTGGGCATCACTCCGCTTCATGCAGATGTCCCTCGGTCATGGGTTGAAGCATGGGAACCATGAACATGACCCTGAGACTTGAGCAAGCAACGGCGACTGGATCCACTGATCTGAGGGGTGGTCGGAAGAATCGCAGCTGAAACAAATTTCAGAAGCAGGGACCGGCAAAAAGGACCAGTTGCCTCCAGAATTCTAAGACGAGGGTTGGGCTTCTTTTTTTAAATCCCGTCGGGTGGTCAGCGCGGACTCCGAGTGGAGCATTCTGCCATTTGTTTGCTTTCTCGGGACATGAAGGATACATAGCAATACCAGGGGATGAAACAACATACGGCTGTGGGTCAAAACCAATGGTACCAGTTTGGGGTAGGTTCACCACCCATTTTAGTCTATTTTTAGTGGGGATTGGGATGTTCACTGGGGGTACAGGATTTTGACCCATGGCCATATGTAAACAGTTGACCCAAGCCTCTTGCGACCCGCCTGTGCGGCTGGTTTCCCAGTTTGATCAAGTTCGATCTCTCCAGGTGGTGCATCGTTCGCAGGAGGAGGACTGCCAGGGGAGATGGGGTGGGACCCATTCTCCTTAAGACATTTGACACAAGTTCTCTTTGAATAGGACGGTTGGATGACTAGGTCCCCCGGTAGTGCCCTTTTACCCTTGTTTGGGGGAGGGTTCTCCTACTAAAATAGACTACAGAAAAAGGGGTACCCTTATTCTAACCTCCCTACTGCAGGACCTAGATGACACCGGCACCCACATGGTTGACGGGGCACGAACCAGGTTGGTCGGGCCACGCGGCGTTGACAAACGGAACGAGCAAGCGCGTTGCGACAGAAATTGGGGCCTCCCAAAAGTAGAGGAACCCCCGAAATGGTTGAACTTGGTCGGCTGAAACCGGCTTTTTAAAGCAGAAAGCGCTTAACCAACGCGAAGCTCTCTGAAAACCACAGCGACAGGTGGTTCCCACCCTCCCACCAAAGAATATGGAATCTGACAGGGCTCAGGTTTCATGTCACTTCGGTGGCTCAAAATTAAAGAGCTAGGGTTACAGAGGTTTTGGTCCATGTTTCCACTTACCAGGGTTCCATTTCGGTACCGGTTTTTTGAGCCATACCCACATCGACTCATGCAGATTGGATATTCGAGGACATCGCGCCTCTGTCCATCTCTGGGATTTGGCGCTCCGTGGCCGTGCAGTTGGAGGCGGGAACTCCCGGGCCGGACTGGTGGGGCCAGAGTGAAAGCTGTGGGGTCTTTGCCCAACCACAGGTTTCAGTCCATGTTTCCACTCTACCGGGGTTCAATTGTGGGTACCTATTTTTGACCCACACCCAGATAGGTTTTGGGGTGGTCTGGCTGGGGACGCATGGGTCGTTTTCAAGGAGGGTTCCAGAGACGCTGGAGATCCAGGATAGGGCGGTTCCGGGGAGGGTTCGTTTGGAGCAAGGCTACGACTTGTGAAGTTGGAGCGCAATGCCGCTCCCCATTTGCTGGCCGAGCGGGGACCGGTTCGTGCACCGACTTGCGTGTCACTCTACAGTCTAGCTTGCGCTGTTTTTTTGGCGAGTCGAAGCGTTTTCAGATCTGGGACAGCTCGGGAACCAGTATTGGGAGAGCACAAGGGTTGGCTGATTTCAAAGAATCTCCGCCCAATCAAACAGTGAGCTTGCTTTGAACCTCTTCCAAAGCCAAAGGCCGCATCCGAAAGTTACGGGGTCTTTGAGGAAACTGCTCCGGGGTGGGGGCGACTCTGAGATGGGGTTCGCCCACCATGCGGATATCCGTCTTTGATTCTTTCCAGTAGGTCTTGAATCTCTTTTGCCAGATTTTTGGAAGAACATACTCAGGTGGGGTTCTCCACTTTCACCTCTGTGCTTCGCGATGTTCATTTTTTGCTTTCTTGGTTCCCCAACATTTCAAGGAACAAACCTAGTAACCTAGTTCCCGCATATTTTATGGTTTCCCCATTTTTTTAACTTTATTTTTTTAGGGGGGGGGGGGGGGGGGGGGGGGAAAGCCTGAAGAACAAAACCTAGTTCCCGCATATTCCATGGTTCCCCCATGTATTATGTTTTTGGGGCTTTGGGAATGGAGTGGGGTAGGCCCCCCTCAAGGGGCTTCTTCGCAGCGCCTTTTCGGCGTGGCGAGCGGCGGTGTTTTTTTCTCGGAGTTTTTCGGGGCGTGGCTGGAGGTTTACAAGGAGCGGCCCGCGCCCTCCTGCGCCTTTCTGCTGGCGCTGCTCACGTGGCTGGCGGCGGCCTACAGGCGCTCGCTCGCGGATCGGGGTATGGGTGCGTCTGGGCGAAGCGGGGCGAAGCGGGGCGAAGCGGGGCTTGAGCACAGGTGTCCCTTTGATCGGCCAGTTTAGTTAAAGGTAGATGGGTTCCACTGGTTCAGATGGGTCTTATTCCATTTCCCAGCGGAACCCATCTATTTTTCCAAAAGGCCACCTATGGGCTTGAGGTTTTGCAGGGTGGCCATTTTGAGGACTGCCTGCAAAAAACCAACCACATGCCTTGAAAGAGGGGAGGGGTTGGGGGGGTTGGTTTTGCACGCCCTGCCGAACTGACTTGGCAGGCTCGTTAGAGCTTACGGCTTGGGGCGGTGCAAGGCGACAATATCCTCGCATGGCTGAGAGCACAACACCATTTCCTGTCTTCCACCCTATTTCCTCCTATTTCCTCCAAACGTTTTGCAGTCGGAGCCGTTTTTTCTTCGCTTTTCCCCGGAAGCAAAGTTGAGCGAATGGAGCCCAGTGCTCAGGACCTTCGTCGCGGATCCGGGTACGGCAGGCCGCGCGGGTTGATGAGAGCGCAGGTTTGTCCCCTGAGAGCGGTTCGGCTTTTTGCTTTATTGCCCAAACGATTATTAATGTGTGTGTGAGAGTGTGAGAGCTTGAGGGTGTGAGGGTGTGTGAGGTGTGAGGGTGTGAGTGTGTGAGTGTGTGAGTGGGAGAGAGGGTGAGAGCGTGAGTGTGTGAGTGTGTGAGTGGGAGAGAGGGTGAGAGCGTGAGTGTGTGAGTGTGTGAGTGTGTGAGTGTGTGAGTGTGTGAGTGTGTGAGTGTGTGTGTGTGGTTGAGCATGAGGGTGTGAGAGTGTGAGGGTGTGAGAGTGTTACTGGTGTGAATGTTGGTTACAAGCTAAACGGTATGTGCGTGACAGCGATTACGATTCCCTGAAAATCGGCGAAAAAGGCAATCTGTTTTGTATGATGCTCATGCCCTGCACTTCGTCTTGGGTCACGGAACCTCACACGTGCCAAGCTCATTTCTCTGGGATATTCCAGTTGCGTTGTGCAGACCTTGGCCTCCTTTGCTAGGCGCGGATATGGGACGAAGAACAAGGCCAAACCCACACCCCTTAGGCCCAGGCGAAATGCAGGTTGTTTGCAGCAAATGCAAGAACAAATGGGAACAGCTGCCGGTGCTTTTTTGTCGAAAAATGCCGGGCCCTGCAAGCCTTCGCGGTGGATTCCGGAGGAAAGCATTCATTCCGGACTCAAGAGCGGCCCTTGTCCAGTACTGACAGCCTGAGAAATGACCTCAATGACCGAGCCCCGGACAGTTCCATACGGACCGCCCCTATGTAGATAGGCGCTTGGGAAGGCACACCATCCCCATAAGATGGGCAAGCATCTTGCAGGTTGGATCGGTTTTTGTCAGGCTTCTGCCTGGACAGCCGGGCGCTGTACTTCACGCAGGATGCGCAGCGCTGGCTGCTGCACTTGTTTTGGCCCTTGGAGCCAGGCGCTTCTTGCAAGTGGCATCAGTGGGCCTGCTTTGTTGATTTTGGTTGCCACCCCAACTTGTTTTCAGGCCACTTCAAGCCAATTTGGCTTGGGTCAGAGGGCCGAGGTGTTACAAGCCAAGGTGTTGAGAGGTTGCTCCAAGTCTAAGTGGATAAATGAAGGAGAGGGGAAGGAAGGACGCGGGTTACTTTGCACTTCAGCGGGGGGGGGGGGGCTGTGGGTGTAATACTAGCAAGGGGGGTGGTGTCCTGTCCCGGTGTTCGTGTTCCGGTGCTTTTGGTGGTGTGGTGTCCCGTGGTGCCCCGGCGGCTTGTCCCGTGTCCAGGCGCACAGAGATAGGGAGGAGAGAGAGAGGGAGATTGGCGAGGTCCTTGCGGTGTCCTTTCGGTTTTCCGGTCGTTTGGTACTTTGGTGGTCCTTGTGTGTCCCTCTGATATCCACGTTGGTGTCCAGGCGGTATGAAGTGGATGTTTGGCAGTTCCAGTAGACTACCGGAACCGCCAAAACTCCACTTGAGTGTTCTGGTATCCTAGTCCCTGCGGTGTCCCTGTGGTTGTCCCAGCGGTGTTTGGATTCTCGAGCACATGTGGAGTACCGCTCCTTGGGTCCCAGTGCTGCCGGTCTGTCGTCTGGAATTATGCGCCCAGAGATCTTCTCGCACGGAAGCTTTCGCAAGGGTGCCATGAGAGGTCGGAGAGCGCAGATGCACGAGCTGATGATGTTTTAACCGCCGTGTTCGGCGGTGGCCCGCTCGAGTTTTAAGTTCTTGGCGCTCCAGAGGCAGAGTGTCGGTGCGGCCCGCTGGAGATGTCGGTGCTGCTGCGTTCGGTCTCCCGTCCCGGTTGTGTCACTTGTGTCCTGCCCGCTCCGGTGGCGGTGGGTCTTGCTGTTCCTGCTTGGAGAAAGGTTTCGGCAGTTTCCCCACAAAACGTTGGCTTCCCCCCCCCCCCAACCCCCACCCCCCCGCCACCCGTTGGCACGTAGGCCTGGCCCGGGGCTTCGTGAGCAGCGCGCTGCTGCTGGTGCTGGGCTATGCCTTGGAGTACGAGCTGGGCGCCGGGCGGTTTCTGGGGTACCTGCTGGGCATCCAGCGCCTCGCAGGGAAGCGAGCAAGCGGGAGGTAAGGTCTAGCAGGGCTCCTTAAAAGATGCACTTTGCAACCAGTTGAAACATGGCTTTTTCAACACCAAAACAAAGGGAACCAGCATTTACAAGTTGCGATTATTTTTTTGGTGTATAATGTAAGGATCCCTGTCTGAGGGTTTTTGTATTACACGGGAATACTCCCAGGGTATTGACCCCAGGACCCCGCTGTCCGGTTCCAGTTGGTGGGAGGGTGATAGGCATGTCCTCACTCTCTTCGTCATGTCTCGCTTCCCGTTCTCTTCGTTCACAGGCGATTTCCCCAACCCTTGAATCGCTTCTTTGCAGCACCTCTGGTGCGAAATCATCAGTTCGCACCACCTAAGAAACCCTGGTTTCTGGTTCGATTTCCTGGTAAATACCAATAAACAATGGTTTTCAAGCGTCGTTTCCAAGTGGTGCAGGATGTCGTCCATCCACAGTAGGTCGATAGCAGACGCTCCTTATGAATGTGTGCCCGCGCAGTCCGGCAGCGCTTGCCAGCACGCGCCTAACTCTTCAAGCGCGCTCATATGTGAACCCATGTTTGCAAGCAAACTGGTTGGTTTACAGTGTGTGTATTCCGCCATGGGTCACACAGCAGTTTTCAAGCGCATCTTCTCAGAACCCACGCACGCCTGCCAAGTGATAAGCGCACGCTCATCCCCGCAAGAAAGCCCGCGCACGCCTGCCCAATGATGAGCGCGCAGGGCGCACACGCTCAAGTACACGCCCAGGCGCCCGCGCACAGAGCCCGCGCACACCTGGCAAATGAGAAGCGCACGCGCTCGCACTAGACGCGGGATGCTCGCAAGTATTTGCGGGAAAAAATGTCAAAAAAGCAACACTGTGCAGCATGCCATTATCATTTATCGATTTGAAGTGGTGGACCGGGAGCCGAATCCTTGCTTTGACGGGCAAATTCCGGTACAAACAGCTGGCCTCTCAAAAACGTTTCGAGAGCCCGGAAACGAAGTATTTGAGATCCAATCACCAAAGCGAATTCCTGTTTCGCGCACGGCTAAAAGCCTAGTTAGCCAGCCAGGCAGCTAGTTAGCTGGTTCGAGGCTGCGCGCTAGTTAGCTGTCCATCGAGCCAGCTAACGAATTAGATTCTGGGCTGACTTGATTGTGAGCTTTCGTCAGTTAGATAGACTGCTTCTTGGCCACTTCTTCGAGTAGTTTGCTAGTTCATCAGTTTGCCGACGAAAAAATACAAATCAACGCCGACTTTTGATGATCAACCCAACACAAGTCTGTAGAGGCTTCACCGTTTGATGACAGCGCAAATCTGAATGGTCGACCCTGCCGAAAGCCCGCAGAGGGCTGCGCCAGCACCCAGGCTTTGCCGTCGACGCCCCCGGAAAGTCCGCGAGAGCTCACTGTTTGATTGTTGCGAGCAGCGTGCCGCGGGCCGCGGGGCCGTGGGTGTGTGTGTGTGTGTGGCCGAACCGTTCCGAGACCGTTCCGAGACCGCCCGGTGCCTACACACGCAGAAGAGCCGAACGTTCGCGCAGCGCCATGTTGTCGCCCAGCGTTTTCCAACTTGTTCTCATCAATTGCATGTGCGGCGCATGCGTTTTTCAGTCAGCAAGCCGCAAGTAGCCGTCAGCTCTACGGATGATTGTTACTGGGTAGGTCGTTTTGTGCCGCGCATTCCAGGAGTTTTGGGGCTGGAGGGTGCGTTGTTTCACTTGCAAACAGGTCGGGAATCCACCGTAGGGCTGGTTTTTATTTCAGGGTAGCGGGAGGGTTGGGGGCCTAGCTGGGAGGTGGCAGTGGAAGGGTCAGGCGTCCTGTGAATGGAGGCAGGCCAGGCGAGGCCGGATCGTGTCGTTGAGTGCCACGTTCGTTTTTTTTCTGGCGCTACTGAGGATGGGGGCTGCTTTCCTCCTCCTCCACTTTGGCTTCTCCTCGCCCCTTAGCGCATTGAGCTTTGGAGCTTTGGCCCCAGGGGGCTAATTTTGGGACCAACACACCCTTTCCTTATCCCTTTCTTCCTTTTTGTTTGTTTGTGTTTTTTTCTTTTCTTTTCTTCCTTTTCTTTTCTTCTTTTCTTCCTTTTCTTTTCTTCTTTCTTTGCTTTCCTTTTCTTTCCTTTCCTTTCCTGCCTTCCTTCCGTGCTTTCTTTTTTTCTCAAAGAAAGCAATTCTGCGAGTTGGCGTGCCGAGTCTGCAGCATGCCGCATGAAACACTGCTTGCAGCGAAATGGCCAAACGGGATCCGCTGATGATGATGATGATGATGATGATGATGATGATGATGATGATGATGATGATGATGATGATGATGATGATGATGGTGCTGACGACGCTGGCGCTTGTCTGATGGCGGTGGTCGTGCAGGGGTGCTAGCGCCAACGTTGCTGCCAGCATCAAAAGCAAATCGCCAACACATCCAGTGTCAGCATCGCGGGCAACCTGCCTTCATTGCACGCGTCTTTTGCATCACAAGCGCCACGGCGATTCAACACCATTGACGCAACAGTCGCCATCCGCACGCTTTCGCTGGCAGTCCTAACCGTTTGCAACCTCCGTTGGCGGCTGTGGAAAACCTGGCGTGAGGTCCGTGATCATTCTCTTCGTGCAGTTGCCAATGCTCATGTTGCATTGGCACATGGCTAAGGCTTAGCGTTATGTGTACCACAACGCCTTCTCCTTTCTTTATGCCTGTTGTGCTTGCCCACGAAGGCTCAGACGATGACTGAGCAACGGGCGGTCGAGTAAGCATTAGTATTGCAGAACGTCGGCTGATGTGCTGAACATCTGGCCTGGCCGTTTTTTGAGGGGCCGTGATGTGAAACATTCTGGAACCCCCTATCCCTCAAATTACGCGTTAATGGGAACCAAGCCATGGCTGATCTACAACACCGAAGTCGCAGAGAGGATTCCGATCGAAGGCCCGACCTCCTTGTTTTCCCGCTGCATCAGCTCGCAGGTTTTGCGGGCGGCAGAGGCTTAAGGGAATGAACTGTTTGGCAAACCCACTCTGCAACAAATGTACTTTTGTTGAATCGCGTTGGCTCTCATTGGTGAAGTCCTGAGACCAACACGGTGTGTTTTTTGCGAGGGCCCTTTTTGGGTTTTGTTTTGAAGGGGCACCAAAAGGAAACTGCACCAACATCATCATCATCGTCGTCGTCGTCATCATCATCATCATCCTCACCAGGGTGTATTATTGTAAGGGCACCCTTTTCTGTCGTTTTGAAGGGGCACTGAACGGAAGCCGCACTAACATCATCAAGATCAACATCATCATCGTCGCCGTCATCATCAACATCACCAGGGTATTTTTTTTGTAAGCGCCCCCCCCACACCCAACCCCTCAGCCATGGATGGACACCGGACAAAATAGGGGCACCAAAAGGAAGCCGCCCTTCCCGCACCCGGGCCTCGCAGTTGTTGAGACGAGGTGCCTCACCTCCCTGGAGCCGGCCTTTGCCGGGCTGGCGGTGGTGATGCACCGGGTGAACCCCAAGGCCGGGGTTCGCCGACACCGCGGTGGTTTTTGAGCTGAATGCCCGGGGGGGGGGGGGGAAGATTCTAGGAAGATTTGTATTGATTTGAGAAGAATAATGTAAGAAGATGGTATTATTTTGGCCAAAAAAAGCGGAAGCTAAGAAGATTGTACTTGGTGTAAGCTCAATGGCGTGTGGGCAAACTGAGTGTCGCTGATGGCGCAGTAGCAGTGATGAGTAAGCCACACACTCGCAGACACAGACACGCATGCACATGGACACAGACACAGGCACACAGGGACACAAATACGCTCACAGAGATACACGCACGTAGACACCAACACACAGACAGACACACACACACAAACACAGACGCAGTCACAGGGACACACACACACACACACCCACCCACCCACCCACCCACCCACCCACCCACCCACGCACGCACGCACGCACGCACGCACGCACGCACGCACGCACGCACGCACGCACGCACGCGCGCACGCACGCACGCACGCACGCACGCACGCACGCCGCGCGCGCGCGCGCACGCGCGCACGCACGCGCACGCGCACGCGCGCACGCGCGCACGCGCGCACGCGCACAGCGCGCACGCGGCGCACGCGCGCGCGCGCGCACGCACGCGCACGCGCACAGCGCACAACGCGCACGCGCACGCGCACGCGCACGCGCGCGCGCACGCCGCACCTGCGCACGCGCACGCACACGCGCACGCGCACACGCACACGCACACGCACACGCACACGCACACGCACACGCCCACACGCACACGCCCACACGCACACGCCCACACCGCACGCCCACGCGCAACGCGCACGCGCACACGCGCACGCGCACGCGCACGCGCACACGCCACACACACACACGCACACGCACACACACACACACACACACACACACACACACACACACACACACACACACACACACACACACACACAGACACACACACAGACACACACACACACACACACACACACACACACACAGACACACACACACACACACACACACACACACACACACACACACACACACACACACACACACACACACACACACACACACACACACACACACACACACACACACACACAGACACACACACACACACACACACACACACACACACACACACACACACACACACACACACACACACACACACACACACACACACACACACACACACACACACACACACACACACACACACACACACACACACACACACACACACACACACACACACACACACACGCGCGGAGACATACACACACGTACATAGACACAGACACATGTACACAAACACTGAGACACACGCACACACAGAGGTCGCGCACGGATATACAGACACACACACACACGAATACGCACGCACACAGACATGCAGACACAGAGACACAGAGACACACAGACACACACACACACACACAGACACACCGACGCACAGGCACACACACACACACACACGATTAAGTACACACTAGGGATGAGCATCGTTCACTTCTACAATTTCTGTTGAGAAGTCATGTTTGAATGAGTTGTAATGAGGGCTTGTACACACCTTTGTGCCGTTGGGAAGTGAGGTTTATTCTAAAAGCACTGCTCGCTGCCGCGTTTTCTTGTGTTTGAGGGCAACTCTGAACTTGATGCAACAGCATGCAGAGCATCAACACGTATCATATCACACATCTGGATTCAGTGCGTGTAGTCGGGACACCTAGCTTCTTTTGTTTTTTTCGTCATTTTTATTTTATGGGAGAACGCAGGCACATGTGGGTCTTTCACAGGCTGAGGAACCCGAGGCAAGTTTGGTGGAGTGTTGGATGTTTTGGCCCAGCAAAGAGTCATATTCCCTGGCTGCAATTCATGCAGGGTTTCTGGGTACTGTTAAAAAGCCTGTTCCAGGATTGACGGTTGTTCCACATGTTCAGTGCGATAAGGAGCACATGGACATGTCAAACCTCAGCAGATGTCAAAAGTTGGTTAAATTCTCCAGCCCCTGGAGCCCCTGGGCGCAGAGAACCTTTCCCATCAGGTGCACAGCGATGGCATGGGCAAGGCCTTAAAGCTGCCATGGGAGGCGCTTTGGCGATCTCTGCACGTTCCGGGGGCTTGGTTTGGGGGGCGCTTGGGGCTTGGGGCGCAAAAGACCCCAAACGGAGGCACCACGCAGCCCCCTTGGCCTTCAGCAGGTGGCAGCGGCTTGGACTCAAACCCGAACAGCCAATGGGATCTTAGCTCGAGCTTTTCGTTGGGAACTCGTTGTCACAAAACTCGTGAATCGCGGGGCTTTGCGAGATCCTTTGCCCTTCTCGTGCAGTGGCAAGTTGGATGACCGCCAGTAATTTGTGGCATGTTCCAAAAGAGTGTGTTCAATGAGCATATTATCAGTTGCTGTACAGTCATTGTCCAGATTTGTTTGTAAGTACTGGATATTCTTCATGTCGAAGTGGAGGTCTCTACATAGTTACGGTTGGTTTTCCAAACACTTTCTGCGCACAGTCCAACTCATGTATAATATCCAGAAAGTCACCCAGTTTGACCACGTTTATTGTCTGCCTTTTACTCGCTCTTTGAAACAATGCATATTCATTTGGCCTCTTTGCAATAGAGCCATCGTCAGAATTTCCGGAGTCCTTCTCAGCATCAGAGTCGTGGAATTGAAATCGGGGGGGGGGGGCAGAGTCCTTGTTGATTTCTTGAGGTGCTTTTCTTAATTTATGTCCATTCCTCACTCATGGGATCGAGAAAGATCAGGCAGGTCTTGTAGACATGGATATGCTCGACCGACGGACACGGCTATTCCCAACAGATCCAAGACTTTGTACTGAGCAGGATGGAGTGTTTTGCCACACCAACGTTCAACAGCGAGGGCGCCAATGCAAATATCACCGGCCACCAGCCCCCTGTCAAAACATCAGCCCATGTTCATTCTGGCGGGGCGTCAAGGGACAGGCACGGGGCTTTTTGGAAGGCTTCGGACAGGCGCGGGAAATGTTTGGAGCAGCTCCAACTGAGAATTCACCTCACAGTGCGCAGAAAACACCTTCAGTTGACCTTCAGCTGACCAAAACGAGCACCTTTTGTCGTCTGCCACCTTTTCTTGACTGCTATTGGACTTTAACTTTTTGGTTGAAATCAAGGTGGTTTCCACTAAACCCCCCAAAAGTGTAAAAACAACTTTTTGCAGGGGGGTCGTTGCAGCAGCCAAGTTTTTTTCCCATCCGCTTCGCAGCGCCTTTCGCGCCTTTCGCGGCTTTCGCGGCCGTCTGCGAGGTGGAGCCGCGCTGGCACGTGTGGGTGCTGATCGGTCTGCTTCTGCTCCAGGCGGGGCGGGGCGGCGCGATGGTCCCGATCTTGGGAAGGCCACAAAGGGCTTCTAGAAATTGAGGAAAATGGCTTTGGGAATTTAAAGTTTGAGTTTTGTATGTTGAAAAAGTGATAAATAAATAAACCCACCGTTGGATTTAAGAATTTGAGAACATACTTATTGGGAATTTTCAAAACTCGGCTCCCAGCCATCCGGTCCCTTGGCTTTTTTGGATCTTTCTAGTTGGTTTAGTGGTTGGGTTTCCGCGTTTAACCCAGTAACAGTTGGTCACTTTTAGCAGGGGATCGGTTTGCACGGCGCAGACATTTTGTCCCCAGACCAACATGGAACCTGAAAAGGGGTGCCCAGAAGCAGATTCCTCTAGTGTGTCTTGGGGTTCCATGTTAATCTGCGAGAGTGTACTTTTTGGGGGTTTCCCTTACCACTCAAAATTTGCAGGGTATGTTTTGGTTGGATATCCTTTTGGACTCAGTTGCCAACGCAACGGCTGTCAAACATGAGGCGCCCTTTTGAGTCAGCAGCCAGAGGTTTTGGGCCATTCGGAAGTTGAGGTTCGCGTGCGACGACAATTCGGATCGAACATTCATACATCCCCCATCCCACTTCAATACTCCCACAAGATCATTGCACATGCAATGAGTCAGCCAGAAGAGTCTGAAGCCCTGTCCACAGTATCACAACTAGGTCCCCCAGTAGTGCCCTTTTACCTTTTGTTTGGGGAGGGTTCCCCTACTACAAGAGACTACAGAAGCAAGTTGGTACCGACCCTTATTCTAACCTCTCTACTGGAGGACCTAGACAAGATTTGTACCAGACTTTTTTTGCGCACTTTGACTCATCGTTTTACTTTTAAGGTGAGGCGACGGGCAATTCGGCCAATTTGGCCAATGCCAACACGTGCAATTCGCGCAAAGTTTCCTTCGCCAGAGACCAGCGGTGAAATCACAACAAACGGTAGCACCAGACAACTCTGGGTGGGACATTGGAGGTCTTAGTTGTGCACAGGCTTGAACATTGTAGAGGATTTCTTTTGACTTTGAGAAGACTTGCAGCACTTTAATTTCGGGGTCCTCCTTCCCTTTTCGGGGTTTAAAACATCACCTTCTGGCCCTGAGTTGGAATTTCCTGAAGGACATGTGAGCAATCAGAACCCGGATGAAGGTTTGGGGGCACTGCCATGGGTGCCGTGGACACGTGGATTGCTTCGGAGCGCATGGAAGGAATAGGCGTGTTCTTGGACACGTGGATTTGGTTCGACTCACTTGCCCAAGGCCAATCGACCTTTGACCTTTTAGTTTCCATGTTGTTGGTCTTTGAATCATGGTCCCAAAAGGTCAACTCTTTATTTCTAGGGTGTGTCGTTTTTTGGTGGTACCCCTTTTTGGGTGTTTCAAAGGGAATCCAACAGGAAAACCACAATTTTCGTGAGTCCAAGCTTGAAAAAGGCACACCCAAGTGGATCTTACAACGGGACACCAAGGAAACCCAGGAAAAGCAAGGGAAAACCAAGGGAAACCCAAGGAACAAGGGAAACCCAAGGTTCGAGTCAGCCCCTGGCAGCTCAGGCCTACGACTTCCCGCGGGCCTTTGTGGCGGTGAGCGCCGGGCTTCTGCTGGGCTCCTTCTGCGTGCTGCGGGAGCCGGAGGCGAGTGGATGGCTGGGGCTGGCGGGGTGGCTTCGGGATCGTTGGTCATATGGACCCAAATGGGCGGTTTGCTTTGCGAAACACCTTCGATCCTTGCGGCCTGGGGTTCGAACGAATCCCCAAACCACCAACCCAAATCGCCAATTCAGGTTTGCCTCACAAAGAGGGGCCTCAAAAAACGCCAATGCGGCGTCCTCTACAAATCCGGTCGGATTCATTTTCCCCCTCTGGTACGGAGCCGTCCCTGCACGCGTCACCCTTTTAAGTATGCTTCAAAATGAAGGAACTTGAGACTATTGGGTACCTTCCATGTCCGTTCTTTCCAGGCATCCGAATCTTTCTAGAAAACCACCCGAAACCCTGGAGAAGCCGCTGGTTTTTGAAAAGAACCATGGTTGAAAAGAATGGTTGGAATCAACCCCTAGAAATGAGAGAGCTGGCCGGGCGGGGCTGGGTGTGGTGTGAGGGGAGGAGTCCGGCAATGGCAATGGAAGTGGCTTTTCAACGTCCAAAACCCAGGGCCCACTTCCATGTTGGAAAGGAGGGACTTGCGGCTTAGATTTGTTTGCGGATTGCGGTTTGGTTTTCTGGTTCAATGCCTGCTGTTTGGAGTGAAGCTGGGCCAAAGGCTCCGTTGGGGACCTCTCGGGTTCCAGATACGCCCCACGATGGATCCGCCGGCTCGAGCCGCCGGCTCGTTCGCCATTTTTGGGAATTGATGCTGGGGACGGGCACTGAGATGCACACATTGGGCGGTTTTTCCGGTTGGTTTCCCTTTAAACGCAACCAAAAAGTGGTTCCCCCCCAAAAAAAGACGCACAAACATGGGGATTTCTTCCCTGGATTGGGATCGCCCCAGATAGCTCGCCAGAAAATCCCTGTCCTGCTTGCTTCCCCAAAAGGAAAGACGTCTTCCGAGCCCCCTGTCAGCTTCCATGGTTGGGGTAAGTGAGGAAGCTGGCTGAACGTTTCAGTTCTAGCCCCAGTTTCCTTGCTCAAGGAGCAAACAATGCCTGGCAGCCAACTTTTTGCCCCCGCCCACCACCCACCACTCACTACCCACCACCCACCACTCACCCGTGCCGAAAGAAAAAAAAAAAAAAAAACATCAAAGAAGGTTGCAAAATGGGTGCGTCCGTTTCTTTTGGAGGAAACCCGTTGCGCCCCTCAAAATGAAAACCGTTGCGCCCTTCAAATGATGCCAAGAGCCGCCGAGTCTCCTATCCGAGGCCTGCTTTTGGTAGGTATTGAAGGGACACCAAAAGGAAATAATCCAAAAAGGATATTTTTTGCGGCTACCCTTTTTGGGGTTAGGTTAATCGGACACCAGAAGACCAACCACGCCAAACAGGGGACCCGGTCCCCAGCGATAGGCCTGGAGTGACAGCTTCGGCGCGGTGCGTCGGCGCTCCTTTAGTGCTGGGGCTGCGGCGCATGTGGCGCTCTTTGGTTCCAACTTCATTCTTTTCAGCCATCCCAGGGTTTCTGGAGGGGGTTCTGCGGGGGGTCCTGGGGGGGTGTGGGGGGTTCATTTTCTTTTCAGCCATCCTTCTTTGCAACAACCGGATCCGTTTTCCCAGGGTTTCTGGAGGTTTTCTGGAAAGATTCGGATCCCTGGAAAGAATGAAGGCACCCCCAGAAAGCTGGGTCTGTGAGCTCGCCCTCGCCGCCTCACCCGGCGGCCGGGTGAAAGTGACAGGAGACAGCAACCTTGTTCGGATTCCGCGGAAGGGAAACGGCGCAGTCCATTTTTGTGAGGGAATCCTTTTGCCGGGAATCCTTTTTGCGGAGAGAAATCCTTTTCGGCTTTTTTTACTTCCCAAGAATTAGCTCCCCTTTTTGCTTCTTTGCTTTTTTGGGTTCCCTTTGTTTTCCACTAACCAGGCCAAAAAGATATACTTTTTTGCCGGGGTCCTACTTCCAGCCAAGTTTAAAGGGAGGGTGTCAAGTTGGACGCCAAAGGGAGAGCCGCCTTTCTTGGGGCTTTGCGAACCCGGCCTGGCGGGGGATTTTTTGTTTCTCGCGACGGGGGCGGCTCGTCTCTTTGGCATTCTGCAGCTTCCCTTTGAAGCTATCAAGCAGGGGTTTCCACCATTTGGAGGACCCCCCCATGTCCAGAAACGGGGGACAGGTGCCGGAGTGGCGCTGTTGAGTTTTGGATGCCCGGCAGTTTGTTGCGGCGGAGAGAGGGAAACTGGAAGGCCCCCGAAACGCAGCCGGAAGAGGGATCACCTGGCCTTGTAGCATCCCCAAAAGCTCATAAAGGGCATAGTGCGCTTCGATCATATGCACCATCCCAGCCACAGGCAACAAGTAAACACCGGAGGCACGCTTGGGCTTTGGACTCCGATGCGAGCTTGAATGAGCCAGTCACGTACATAGGGATGTCTGTCCGCCTCTTTTTTTTACAGGGCTTCCCCACGATTGCCAGCGAGGCTCTTCGTCTTTACCATCCTCTTCATGCCGCTCACGGCCCGGCTGCCCAGTCGCGCGGTGTGTGCGACTTAGACACCTGACAGGTGAAGCTGCCCACGGTTGGACACGGGCTCAACTTCAGATTGAGCATGCGAGTTCCGTCCATTGGTCTTTTCGGAAACACAATTTGAGTGGCACACAAAAAAGGTCCGCTCAGGACTTCAACCACTCACTTTTTCCTTTGGGAAGCCGAGCACTTGCTCAAGCCTTGAAGTGCAAGGCGCATGCTTGCGCTCTCATTCTGTATTGCATTTTGAATTCCCGTTCTGTGCCCCACCCCAAGACGGAATCCACCGAAGCAGTTCGACTCTCTTCTCTCGTTTTCCTGTGGAACCTCACTATTTGGAAGGTGGTGGAACACATGGCTGTGCGTGCAAATGAGCCGGCATTGGGACCTATGACACCGCCAGTCAGGTCACGGACTCGCGTCCGGAGCTGTGGTCGGACATCCAGGCAGGGCCTTTTCTGAGCATTGGCAGGTCATCCTGGGCAATTTGTTTGGGAAGTCTTTTGAAGGCAGCACAGTATCCTGGGCTCTTCTCACAAGTTTGCGACTTGCGCGGGCGGTCTAGCATGATCGATGCTGGATATCTAGCAAGAAAGTTATCAAGGCATTGTAGATCTTATCGTCTGCCACCATAATCGAAAAGACAATCAAAATTGCTGTGAACAGCAAAAAAAAAAGCAAAGGTCCTCCAATCTCGTGGCCAGAGATACGAAGCATATGTGCAGACGCTGGTCTGTGACCAAGGATGTGGGATTGTCGTTGCAGTATATAGATGAACGTCCTTAGACATGACGTACATGACGCGCTGGGTGTGCACAACAGTTCTCCATTGTTTACGATGAGAGACGACATGGCCGGACAGCAGATGGATGAATGCAAGAGCAGGAGGGAGGCATGGAGGAGATTGGCCCTAAAGTTTGGCGAGGTTTGAATGGGACTCTTGCGGAGGAGTGGTTTCATGCCAGGAGTCCCTTTGTGAGGTAAGAACTGCTGGCGGGGCCCTGTTTCGAGAAGCTTTTGGCAGGCGTGAACGAGACCGGTTTCAATAGTAGGTTCCAGGGCTGCAAGGTTTTTGGTAAGTCGTGAGGAGACGCTGCATGGCAGCCCCGCTGTTTGAACACTCAATTTGGATACAGGTGAGCTTTTCTGTCGCATTGTGTGTTAAAAGATCGAGTTTCGGCCGTTTTCTCCCGGCCATACCCTTTCGGTTTCGTCACCCCTTCTTTCTTCTTTTGTTTTGTTTTTGAACGTTTTCCCCTTGCCGGTCTGCCCATCGGCAAACCGGGCCGAAACATTGCTGGGCGATCCTTGGATTCGTCGCTAAGAATTCGCCGGGAGGCGGCGCTGGCAGACGGCCGCGCGCTGCGGCCCGGCTGGTGGTTGGAGGGCCTGCCCTCCTCCGCACCGCTGATCCATATGGCCCGGAACTGGGGGGCATCAGCGTTGCTGGGTGTGGCCCGTTTCTCGGTTTTTCGTTTTCCGGGCATTTTTTTCCAGGTTGGTTTGAAGTTTAAAGGGACGGCACTGTTAGGCTCCCCCAATTTTGACATACCCGGAAGAACCTGCGGACACTACAACCATTGCCAGCGTCAGAGAGTTTGTACTCCCTCCACCAATGGTAAGATATTCTTTTGAAAGATCAACAGTAAATTAACAGAGTCCCAGGGTCCAGTTGGAGTTTAATTGCCAAGTTTTGCACTTCATGAACACAAATCGGGTTTTGCCGTTTGCCAAGCACAAAAGCCATCAGAATCGTAATGAGCGAGAGAGAGAGAGAGAGAGAGAGAGAGAGAGATATATATATAGAGCGGTGAGAACGATCACATGTAAATGGCAGCAAGGGACTTAAGGGGGGCCCAAGGGGCAAGGGGGGTGCTTGGGCCACTCCTTCATCGGAACTTTGCCGAGGAGAGTTTGTCAGCTAAGTTTCCTTTTGAATTCGTTACATCATCTTATTTCAAGTTCTTCAGCATGTTGCTGGTCATGTGAGTGTGTGGCTTTTGCTTAGGCAGATTTGAAAGTGGTAATGCTGGTGATGCTTTGGCAACTTTCTTTTCTGTTGATCCAGATGTTGATAATGCTGGTGAAGTGCCGGTGATGCTGGTAATGCTGGTGATGCTGGTGATGTTTGTGCTGATGATGCCAGCAATGCTGATGATGCTGAAAGATATCTTGTTGGAGTTGACAATTTCAGGGGCGCTTTCAGCAGGTGATGTTGTCCACACGCAGGCTAACTTGCTAGACGCGGTGCCCTAGTGATGCCTGTGCTGGTGATGTCAGGAATGCTGATGATGCGGGATATGTTGGGCAACGTGCATGCACAACCGGCCAAGAACCCAAATTGGCTGCATCTCTTAGTTGTTTGACCGACGATGTGTCTTGACCACTTTGAGTCACACCACCCCTCCCCCAGAACCACGGAAGCTCCCAGCACCCCTTTGGAAGATCTGACGGAGTGTACAGACCAATCAATGGCGACTGCTGCTGCTGGGGCATCCCACTCTGCAAGCTCTAGCTTAGCAATTTTTCCATCGGCTCTCACTTCCGGCAGGCCATGGTCAAGCAGCTGCCCGGAGAGGTCGCTCTGGGGGTTGAAAAAAACTCCCGTGTGAAAATTGTGGGAAACCCTCGGCGCGGACACGTCGGACTTTACAGTATCACCTTGACATAAAAAGCGGGAACCCATGCTCTCCCTCTTGGGTTGGTATTTGCACGGGATGGCTCGTATGACCCACGCATGTCCGCCGGCACATCTCGTTTGTGAAGATGCGGATACTCGGGAATTGACTCTGATTCACAGCATATGAAGATGTCTGCTTTGATGCACATTCGACTTGGGGCAGAGTTGGATTCTGGCGTTGTTTATTGCACCCAAAGTGGCGGAACTTTGGTGGTTCGGGGTGTATTTGATTTGTCGTGGCATTGCTGCAGGCGCAACTTGAAACATGGCGGCTTTGCTTTACATTTTAAATAGGTACGGCATTGATGGGATTTTAGAATGCTGGCTTTGCCTTGGAACTATTTGCAGGGGCATGAGGTCTTAAGTATTGCTGTCAAGAGGAGAGCAGGTGGCTGAAAACAAGCAGGGCTTTGAGCAGGACACTACACACACGCAAGCTGAACAGCCCGTGTTCATGCTTGTGAGCGCACGGACGGCCTTCTGAGCGCAAGAAGTTAGGGCAAGGAGCTTGGCTTGTTTTGAAGGTCCTCAATGGAGCAGAGACCCCTCACACAAAGCCCAGCCCCTTGAATCGGTGTATAGCCATGTTGGCTTCAAAGGATTAACCCGAAGGGCGCCACCGAGTGACTGATGTGGGTAGCGGACATCCCATGGACAATCTGAATATCCGGTGGGCAAAGCTCCTGATAGCTTCAGTCATCCGAATGCAAAGGAGCCTCCGCATGTTCTCACGTACCGGCTTTGCTGAGCATTCTCCATGACCCAAACCCTCCTAATCAGAAGATTGCCATGCCCTCGCCCTTTGAGTTTCCACGCAGCTTCTGAATCCGATGCCCTTTCCTGATGCTGATCCCAGGCTTTTGCATGGAGGGTTTCTACTTTTGCCACACAACATTTGGCTGCAAGGCAATAGTTGACCACAGGGCGGCGGGTTTTCGAGGATACCTTGGCACAAAGGACGCGACTTCCCCGATTTCCAAATGCCCCTATAGTGGCAACGGTTTCATACTGGCTTTCCCTTTCAATACCAGCCAAAAGGGGTGCAGCATGTTGACAGAGGTGCATGTTGCTTGGAAGTTCGGACTTTAACTTTTGGCGAACTAATGGGTTTTCCGTATTAAACCACGAAAGCCTAGTCACTTTTAGCCGAGCAGATTTCGCAACCGAGCTGAGACAAACCCCATGGATCTTTCTGACTCAGGCGCTGTACATCAGCAAGGTGCTGCTCAGCTTCGCCCTCCCGCTGCTCCTGTCCCCCCTGCGCATTTGGGCGCCTCGCCGATGAACTTTCGAACTCCGAGGGTTTGGTCGTTTGGTCGCGTTCAAAAGACCACTTGGAGATGGCAGGGATGGTCATCAACCTCTTTGTAGGGGGTGGAAACTAGCTGCTTTTTGGGGATTCTAGCACTGAATCGAATAAAATCGGGTATTTTGCCGCCGGCCGCCGGATTGCAAGGTGAGAGCATACTCCATCTTCATTGTCATTCTTCTCATGCGACTGGGCAGCAGTGGGTGCTGGCAACTTCCAGATCAGACCATTGCAAGCTACGCGATGCCGAACACACACACACATATTGGTTTGTGTCCAAATACGGGGAGGTAAAAAGTGGTATTTTTTCTTTTGGTTTCCCTTCAAAGCAACCAAAACACAGGTACCCTCAAAGGAGCACCCACCCACATGGATGTACCACATGGATGCACCAGAGTGGCCTGGCAACTCTTTCGTGACTGGTTTTTCGTTGCAGGTATACGATGAACTGCCCCATGTGGAGGCGCGTGGAAGAATTCGGGTCGGCGCCTCGCGACATTTGTCAAGAGGCAATTTGAGACTAGCGGAAGGGGCCTTTGCAACGATATAAGAAAGCTACGGCAGGTGCATGAAAGGGATGACAAATGGGACCCGAAATGGTGCACATCATTTAAGGGGATAGTCCAGCAGCCACTTTTGAGGTGGTTCCAACTCTTAAAAATCAGAGCCAGATGATACTGTCTTGGCTCCATTTGCAGGGGATGGTTATCACCCCGCTTCTCTTGAGGTTGGTCAATATGAGTGTCCCACTCCGCCACTCAGGAGTCGCGAACAAAACAAGCAGTCCGTCCTGCAAGAAGCATGTTCGCAGATTTGGTGACAGTGACAAGTTTCTTGTGGTGCGTGGGAGCGGGGAAGAATGATCGGCTCCGTTTTTGCTGCGCGATGTTGGACAGCAAGATTCCTGCCAAAGGAGCCAAGCGTTTTGCAGTGTTTGCATATCATTCGGTTTTGGACTTAAGCCACATGGTTCCGCCACAGTCCATTTATATCCACCGTTGCTTCATCGAAACCACCATTTTGCGATCACGAGCTCTTATTTTTTGGCTGGAGTCCTGCAATGGTTCAGCCGCGGTACGATGCTGTCTTTAAAGTGCGACTGACAAATCCAATGGCGTGTTTCCCATGTGTTGTCAACCATATGGACCCTTGTTGTGAATTGGTGCCGCCTTGTGCCGCCTTTTGAAGAGGATTCCACAAAGGGCCGCTACTTTCACAAGCCTTCAGGTGGCAAAAGCGGAAATTAATCTGCGGCACGTTGTAGCTGGGTCTGCGCAAGCGCAGGCCCCATTCGGCGTATCCCTCCAAAGATGCTGCCTGAACGTCATGTTACAGAGTGGCAAACAAAATATGTTTTGATCACGGCCACGTTTCCCGCAAAAGGCATGAAGACAAGCAGCTCTTCGGGATTCGGCAGGGAAACCTGTCCGTGATTTTGTTTTTGTTTGCTCAGGGCCATCCACTTGCAGAAGAGTCGCTGCAGAATGAAGCAGGGGACATTTAGGGAGGGATTGGTTGCAGCTCTTGCACATGCATATAAAACCATGTCGGTCTGACGCCTGCATTAGCCTCCTTTGATTTTTTGGCCGATCCCTCTTTCGGCCAGGTATCCCCACTGGGGCTTTGTCTCGCTGGCGTACCTGGTGACTCGGCAGTCAGCTTTGAAGTAGCTTTGAACAGCTAACTAAACGTATGGCCAAGGCGGGATGGCCATCAAATGCAAAGAACGTGAGGGGACCCCTGAAATGACTGGTTTTAAAGGCCCAGCTTCACGGGCTGGACGTTTTTTTTTCTTTTCTTTTTTTCTCCCGCGCCGAACCAAAGGTTCTCCTCCAGCACTGGCCGGGGAAGTCTTTGGTTTCGCGGCTGAGATGTTGTCATCGTACTGGTGGGGCAGTGAGGAAAAAAGTTAGCGAGAGACTTTGAGGTGTGGCTTTTCGCCATGGTTTCCGCTTTTTTGTGCTTTGGAGGTTTCATTCTTCGTCCCAAGTGGTTTGCATGGCCCTGGGTATCTCAAGTGCAGACTGCCAGCAGCAGCACCCGATGGAATTGCAGGTCGATCCGCAACGCTTTGCTACACTTTGAGACAGACATCTGTCTCGAAAGGGAAATCCCATAAGCCCCTCAAAGAAAAACAGAGCTCAGTTCCCATAAAACGCCCGGTTTGGGCTGGCACAGGACACAGGACCCCCCCCCAAACAAGAAGAGGAAGAAAAAGCAGAAGCACAAAAAAGAAAACGAAAGCACGGTGGTCCTTTTTGCCTTTTACAGCCCCCAGAAAGAGTTAGATGCACAGGCAGTGGCCTTCTGGAAGCTACCCTCGGCCGCTTGGCTGAAGCGGGTAAAAGGGCCGTTTGCGCGCTTTGAATGGACGGACATGATGGTTAGGAGGTCGACCTTTGGGAGGGTACTCAACTTTTTTTGGTGGGCCACGCAGTATTTTTTCGGACTTTCTTTGAGACTCTTCTTGGGGCTCAGGAAAACGGGACTCACGCTTTGGCGGGCTTAGAGTTCGACGAAATCAACAACAACAGTTTATTTTTTCTTCGGGGGGGGGGTCTGTTTCTGAGACCCTTTTTGCTCAGAATGACCTTCGGCACACCGAAATCAATTGGAGCCTCCTATTTTAAGACACGCTCAAATGACTTTTTTGAGGGTACCGGTCCCCCCAAACAATGACACGCTGCGGGCATAGATGTGAAGTGGCCAATGTTTCAGTGAAGTTGGGAGGCTGGGAATCGGATCGCAAGAGTCGGAATAGATCCTGAGAAGTGGATGGCGCAGACACGGAGGGGTCTCACTCTGCGTTCTCCATGCGCAGGTGGCTTTTCCAGAAGGAACCTCTGGTTCTAGCTCGCCTTTTGCAGGGGTCCCTAGTTTTGTTGAACCCTTCAATGTTGGCCGCCCTGGGCGCCCAGGGGTAGTTTTTTTCTTGCCATGGATACCGGGAAGGGTGGCTGCTCGTAGCTTTGCGGGATGGTCTTCGAAGTTGAAGAAGAAACGCCGGGCGCTTGCTTCGGATGTTGCACAAACATGCTCAAAACGATACACGGGGGTTGATCAAAAGGTCCAATGAACATTGGTTGGAAAACCACTAAGATTATTTCCTACAACGGAAAAAGTCACCCTTGGAGTATTGATCAACCCCCACATCCTAGCCAGCTTTGCTCGCAAAACAACAAGGCAGGATAAGCAGCGTCGGCTACTGACTGATGAATGATCTGAAACGCTCTGATTATACAACACCTTGGGTTGATTGCTCCCACCGTTTGGCCATTGAGGCAGCAGAAGACAAGGGCAAGCAAGCCTGACAGCGCTGACTACCTTGGAGCAAGGTCACTCCGATTGTACAGCCCAGAGTTCCACTTTTTGACTACCCCAAGATGGACATAAAAACCTCCTTTTGCAGGGAATGAACCCCTGGGTCTAAGTCTGGGGTAGTCCAACAAAATGGAACGATTGTCCAGCCATTGGACAGATGGTAAGAAGTACAGGACCCAGGTCCAACCGTAGAGTCAATCCGTCCAAAGCCGCAAGTCTCAGCGGCACGAGAGTGAGGCTTGGGCCAAAGAAACCGTCATTAGCTGCAGCTGTGACCAAAAAAGGCGGGCTGTCATATGCGAAGAACCACCTCAGCATCAGTCCAAAGGCAAACTCAACATCTGGTTTGAGTATTTGCATGTATGTTTCGATTAGACCTAGATGAATAAACTGAGTTGAATTTAAGCGGGCCCACTTGGGATGCTAAGCTGATGGCATTTGTGTTTTGGTCATCAACCCTTGATCTTCGAGTCTTCGACCGAAATGCAGCGAGTCGTGCGAAGATGATATGTACGAACACCTTCCGGTGCGCGGCTTTCTCCCTTTGCCTGCTCCATTTTGGGCCAGGCACGTCACATGTACGCCGAACTTCCGCAGGTTCCCCCACAACATCCAAGCATAGAGATCCGCTCAAACGCCAGCCGTCCAACGGGGTCCGTTCGACCGCAGGAGAGCCAGCCCCGCCTCACGCCGCCTGCCCAGGTGGGGTCCGTCGCTCTGTGGCAGAAACATGTGTGTGTTGTGTCAGTTATGGGGGAACCCGAAGTGGTGCCTTTGTTTTTTCTCCTCCAGGTTCCCTTTCAACAAACCTGAAACATGTGCCCTCCAAAAAACACCCACGCGCAAGTCTTGTGTTCAAGTACGCCACTCGTGCTGGGGGGTCACTGTTGTGAAACGCCTCCTGCGGCTTTTTTGAAAGATATCCACTGGGTTGTAAGGCAATCCTCCCCTTGGGTCACGATTTTTGGATCTTAGTGGTTTTCAGTAGGGCTTACCGAGAATTGGCCAACACTCCATGTTGAGCAGCGCAACTTGAAGGCAGTGACTGACGACCAAACCTGTGGTATGGTGGGTTTAGACGCCCATTTGGCGAACTCAGCCTTCAAAATCAGATGAGAATGGGCTATTGGCAATTGACTTCTCAATATCAGCTGACTGCTTCACACGCCTTTCGACCAGTGCTGCGCTGAAAGGCATCCTTGTGACTTGTGCGTTAAACACACGCCCGTTTTTGCACTTCACAATGACCTCTTAAAAAGATAGCGGTCGCAACCATCTTATAACATCTTGGCGGCAGGAACATCAAACTGTTCGGACATTTTGATCTATGTTGCTCACACAGAGTTGAAAGGAATACTGAGAAGAAACACAGGCAACCAAGGGCAGGGAAATACACCATGATGTGTTTTCGGCTCATTTGCTGCTGTGCCATTTGGGAATTGGCAAGGCAATTCCAGGCAGACAGGTCTTCTTCCATTCAACGAATCATGGAGGACATTTGTCAGTGTTGGACGCGCAGCCGCACCTTTTTTCAGCCTCGCGTCGTTCATGCAAGATGGCTTCCCAGCTCAAGCAGCAGCCCACAAAGGAATCGATTTTGCCAGGTTTGGAAAGAACCACCTTCAAAAAAACACAGGGTAACCACCTTCGAAGGGAAAAAACGACCCAAGGTGTGTTGAGCTCAGAAAGCAACGAGGGTAGGCCTCCCGGTTCGGCATCAGATCCGAACGCCCGCGGATCTGTGAGGTGCTTCAGGACTGGGCGCTGGAGCAGGCGGCTGCGGAGACTCCCTTGGAGGCGGGATGTGTGCCTTGGCGCTTGGGCTGTCTGCTTCCATTGGCTGAAATGACTTTTTTTTTTAATTTTCCCCGGGTGGTTTTAAAGGGAATCTATCATTGCTGGACGTATATAATATATATACACATATTAGATTTTTTCCAGGGGGGCTCAAGCAAATGGAAGTCTGTGTCTGTGTCTGTCTGTTTTTTGTCTGTCTGTCTTTCTTTCTGTCTGTTTGCCTGTCAGTCGGTCTGTCGGTCTGTCGGTAGGTCGGTCGTGTCGTGTCGTGTCGTGTTCTTGTTCGTGTGGGCCATTGATTTGGACACTCAATGCCTACTGGACACTCGACGTCATGATCCCTCTGGCAGCGGCAGGGTGAACAGATCACACAGATTTCACCAGCCTAGGCGACCAGTGGGGTGTCTGTTTTGAGGGTACCTTTTTTCAGGTTGTTTCGAAGGGACACCTGTCACGTGCGCCAGAGAGTCGCGCAGATCTTGGCCAGCTGATCTGTTACATGCTGACCAAGAGGTAGAATCCGCAGCAACAAGTGGTGTCTCCAATTTGCAAACACTCCCAACACTGCTCACATCCCGCCTTCCTATTTGTCCCCCAGAAAAAAAAACATAATATATATATAAAACATATATATATATACCAAAGGTGTTGAAGTCTCATTACCGTGGTGGTGTGCTTCTCCTCTAGTTGGGCATTTGGGGCACTGCTTCCCCCCCTTTGAATTGGACGGCCCGAAATCCGCATCTTGCAGTTTTTGGAACCTTCGCTGGACGAAGCAGAAAAGACTTCTCACTGATATGGCGCATGCTACCGGACCCCACCTATTCTTCCATTTGGTTAAGCATATTTTCATTTGCCCCTGTTGGTTTGTTAAAAGGAATCTATCACTACTGGAATATCTGTATTTTTTCCAGGGGACTTCAGCAAATGGAGGTATTTGATAGACCTTACCCACTTGCAGTCAACTGCCCTTTGAGATTCACAGACGCGGATCTCCCGCAGGAAGCTCAGAAGCCGAGAATAGCCCTGGATGGCTCTGAAAGAAAGGGGAGGCTCCCTACTACAGGGGCAAATCCAGTTTGGCCACATTCCCAAGGCAAGGCAGAACAGTGGCGCTTGCAAACCACGAACGTTGCGACGATGGCAAGTCATCCCATGTCAAAATGTAAAGACTTGACTGGCAACACCAATCAAGCCAAGGCGTTGCGGTGCCCTTTTTACCTCGGTTTGGTCCAGCAGTTTGGCAGGGCTCCTGAACAGATACATGTTGCAACCATTTGAAACATGTTGCCTTTTCGACCAAAACAGAGGGCAACTGCCATTTACAAGTTGCAATGTTCAGGTGTTTTTCATGCATCCGGATCCCTGTTTGGTGACTGAACATCCTGAAATCCCTTGGGTCCCCCGAGCCTGCGGCTTCTGACAAATCAAAGCGGAGCAGTTTGGGAGGCCAAACGGAACTCCGCCCTGGGTCCCGGGACTTGGGGGGTTGATCCATATTCCGTTTGGGGCCCCCAATGGACCATGAGCAGCTTTTCCCATTTCGTGGGGCATGTCATGTTTTCGGTTTTCGGGGGTATAGAAAAATATTCCCGGCCCCCGCAAATGACCAAGGGCGACTTTTCCCAAATTTAGTGGTTGACATATATATAGTCTTTTCAGTGGCTTCCCCCCTGCGTCATCCCATGTTCCTCGGACCTGGTGATCAACCCCCACTTCCTTCAAAGCCAGGGACCATTGCAGCGGCTTCAGGCCGGGCTTTTGGAGCTTTCGAGGTGAGCTAAGAAGGTCTGGCCCTTTTCTTTTTCGCGGGGGTGCCCCCCGAAAATATGGATTTCGGTCTTCCTTAGGGTTTCCCGTTTAAACCCACCCAAAAAACACGTGTATGGTCCAAACACAAGACACCTGTATGATGGTTGGTCGGGGACAGCATGGACTTGGACTTGTCGCATTTCTATCTTAAAGCTTGGCGCTCTCGCTTTCTGAATGACAACAAACCCAGTAACGTGTTCCAATTATCATGAAGGCCACTGGAGCAGTGTTTTCGTTTCAGCGCAAGACAGGCGTGGGCCGGCTGAGCAGTCAGACGCCGGGCGTTATTTAATAATGGAGCAGTTCGACAGCAAGTCGCAAAGCAATGAATTCTGAATGGCTTCCTTTAGCCACCCCAGGGGCCCCACCAGGGCACTCGCCTCACTGAGCTTCTCAACCAGTCTGACTCATGAGCCACAGCCTCAGGGCCATGTTCCAAGTGCAAAGATGGTCAACCCCTTCACCAGAATGAACCACCTGCCGTGTCCAAAACCGCGTCTGGTTCGTCCTGGGACTTTTGGCCTCGCGCTTGTGCGGCCGCAAAATGGCCGACATAGGATGCTTGCAGCATGAAGCTACGCCTTTTTGTGTTGCAACACAAAGCCCGGCAAAGCTGTGCCTCTTTACATCTGTGGTTTCCAGGCGTCAACCAAGACGAAATGCAGGGGACTCAGGTTGAAGCGCCAGCATTGATCGTTTGCCTGTTCTGCATAGCTGTTATCCATAGAGACTCACCGGTGTCCCGTCTTGGGCTTTTGAAACGGGCGACGGTGATACCTTCCCAGCCGCCAGGACCATCTTTTCTGCCAGGCGCGGCTGACGCATGGGTCGGAGCTGAATGGGGGCGTTCTTTCAGGTACAAGGAAGCCCTCCATGCCAAGCAGATATCTTGGAGGGCATAGCGGTGTGGAGTTCTTTGGACACAGATCACGCCAGTTCATGGGCGCCGAATGTATGGAAGGGCACTTTTTTTCTTTTCTTTTTTTCCCCGCTTGCACCGACCTGAGCATTGTGCAACGGCAAAGGCGCCCGGCTCGTTTGCGAGGCCGCCGGATAGCCGTCCAAACCTGGCAAGCAGGCAACAATCCAGCGCCGAACGCAGAACTTGCGTACGATTTGTTAATTCCTGAAAGCTCTGTGAAGGGTTCTTCTGGTGAGATTGCCTTCTTCTTGCGCAGAGACAGTGCAGAGCGAAAGATATGGATTAAAACACCTGCTTCTTGCACGGTGAGAGAGAGAGAGAGAGAGAGAGAGAGAGCGAGAGAGAGAGAGAGAGAGAGTGCACAGAGCAACACGGATAGATAGCACAGAAGACTTTGACCTGCCCTCAGGGCAACGTGGACAGATAGTAAGGAAGAATGTACACTGAGTTTACATGTCATAAACACACAAAGACTGTGCAGAGAGCTGCGCAGAGATCTTGTTGAGTGCCAACACATGAGATAGACAGCACGTTGATATGTTACAGAGAGTTGTACAAATTGACTTTGCGGTTGCACACGAAATATCGAAATCGCAAGCCCCCGGGATCGGCGTCGAGTCTTCTGCGGCTTTTTGCAGTTCCCGCGCGGCCGCCGGGGATTGGCGGGGTCGACATGCCGCGACTCTTGGGATCGGAGGCCCGGGTTCGACTCCTCCTTGGTCTGCGGGCAGCTTTTGCAAGGTAACATCACAACTTTTAAGTGCGACAGCAACGAAACTTGCGCCGAGAAGTTGCGCAGAGAAACTTGTATGGAGAACTTGCAAAGACGTGCTTGCATAGATAAACTTGCGCAAGGAATTTGCGCAGACAACTTGCACAGAAGCGCTTGCACAATGAAGTTTTGCAGAGAAACTTGCATGGAGATCTTACGCAGAGGAAACTAGCGCAGATATTTTGCGATAGACACTTGCGCAGACACACTTGCACAGGGCAGCTTTCGCAGAGAATCTTGCACAGAGCAGCTTTCGCAGAGAATCTTGCACAGACCAGCTTTCGCAGAGAGCTAGAATTGAGAGCTTGCATAGAAAACTTGCGTAGAGCAACCTCCGCGGCGAAACTTGCACAGAGAAAGCCTCGCCACAACTATGCCGTGTCAGGTCTTTTCGCCGTAAGCTTGCTGGGCTTGGATTAAGAAGCAGCCCCGTGGCTGAATGCTTTCGGGCCACATGTGATGCATACTGATACTCAGTGCGTCTACCCGAAACAGAACGCACGCCGACCCCTGAAAAGCCGCCCGTCGGCTTAGCGGAGATCCAAGCCGAGCAATGAGATGAGGATGTTCGGAAGCCAACAAGCACGCGCTGAGCTGCACTCTTTTAGTCTGGAGATAGGGGGTGTCAAGCCCACTTATCTTGAACCAGGACATACATGACGCGTGCTGGAGGGACCCCGCATGACAGCTGTCCTTGGGTCACCTGGGATGGTTACTAGCTGGGTATTGCACCTACCCTTCCGCCACAACAAAGGAGGGTTTCCTTTTTTTGCGGGCACCTTTTTTGGGTGCTTTACAGGAACGCAACATGTGCCGCCATTTTGGGGGTCCCGCAAAAATAAGACGCACCCACATGTGTCAATCATTCTTGCAAGCCTTTGAGACGCAAGCAGTCTTGGAGGAGCACACTTCAAAGGGTTAAGCTGACCTCGGCAGGCGCAAAGCTGCAACCATCGGCCCACAGAATCACAAAAGCACATGTAACATCAAACTCCAACCTGGCTCGCAAAATTGAGCGGGATCACAAGACAGCCCAGCATGATGCTGGTATGAATGAAGAGTCATCGGATATGGCTATCCCCATGAGCGAAGAATAGATTCCAGAACTCGCTTGAATTTTGCACGAGATCGTGTCATTCAGCCCTTTTGCTAGCGTCGATGGCTTCCATCTTAACTAGGTCCCCCAGTAGTGCCCTTTTACCAACTTTTTGGGGGAGGGTTCCCCTACTAAAATAGACAAAACAGAAAAAAGTTGGTACCCTTATTCTAGCCTCTCTACTGGAGGACCTAGTTTATACACATTTTTATGTATGGACAGGGACAATACAGGGGAGGCTCACTAAACACTTTTGGGGCACTTAGTTAAAGTCAACTTTCGGTTTGTTGAGGGCTACTTTCTGTGACACCAAGAGAACTTTCTTGAAAGTGATCATGTTGAGTCAACTTTCGGTTTGCTTGGCGGTTGAATCCTACATGCAGAGTGCTTCAACGGGCTGCTTCCCAGGGCCCAAAGCTGGTCCTGCCGAGCCGCGCGTTGCATGCCCCGGGTGCCTGGCAGGCGCGTTCGCTACACGGCCGGGGTTTTGTTTGATGTTGGAACCAGCCTCTCAACAATCAACACGTATGAGCCACGTGCTCAAAACCCGGGTAGATGAAGGTTAGTAAGGGACAATCCCAACCACAAATAGCTGCGGATATCCGCCTTCCTGATTCTTCACATGGTTCTGGGTAGACCATTTTACTACCGGGTTTTGACTGTGACTCATATGAGCGCGTCTCTTTGTTCGGGAACCTCCCCAATTGGTGGTTTTCCTCCTGGTTTCTCTTTGACACCAAACAAGAAGGGGTTCCCCCCAAACAGACAGAGCCATGTGGTTTTCGCCGGCGCCAATCTAACCCGCTCTGTTTTCTTCATTGGAAGTCGCATGACCTGACCTTGGACATGCGAGGGTGTCTTCTCAAGGGTAGCCCGGTACTTATTTCGGAGTGGTCTTCTGGAAGCCACCCTTTTCCCCCCAAAAAACAGAGAGAACCGTATGGCAGAGAAGAAAAAACCCCACAGACCTCAATCCACAGCTCAACCCCAAATCAACCCCCCATCAACCCCGCAAAGTTCTGCTGAAGCCATGAAGGGCCTGTGGCTTTCCCGGCCTTGAGGTAGAGGCTTTGCATCAAGCCGACCAATTGGCACCTGGAAGTTGCAAGGAATGATCTGTTGTGGTGTAGGATTGCTTTAGCCGTGTTGCAAACGAACAGTGAGTGGATGTTTCTTGCGTGAAATTGCTCGCACGCTTGATGACTTTGCCGATTTGTGCAAACCCTCGCCTGATGAAATGCGGATGTTCGATGCCAACAATCGCGGCAACCTGCTAGATGGAGACCTCGCCAATGTTGAGTTTGAGAATGCCGCAATGAACATGCCAGCTTCAGGCTGAGATTTTTTGGCGTAAGCTGAAATAGAATTGCGTAAGTGACGTGTGGTCTTCGAATGGCTTTGGATGGCCACGTTCAAACTCATCCATTGCAAGACCAAGTTCACCAGCCTGTGATTCAGAGATGCAATGCTGCCCGGATTCCTTTGGCTCCCGGAGCGAGGTGTTGCAGAGGGGAGCCACCGGACGAGAACTGGCCTCATGACGTTTGCCCGAATTCGACATGGCGCATTCGGCCCATATCCGGCTGAAAAACCGCAGGCACCGAAAGCAAACGCGCCAGATGTTCCGCAACTCATTCACTGCCACGCAAAGTCAGAGGAAGGATGAACAGCTTTTGCTTGTTTTCCCAACCGTTTTTGTTTTCCGCACGGTTTGTTCTTCTTCTTTGGTTTGCAACGTTTTTCCTTTTCTTTTATTGTTAAATGTTTTTTGGTTCTCGCAAAAAAAAAAAACGCAAGAAAAAAAACATCGAGTCCGCCTACCCCGCCCCGGCGTCCGACAGAAGACTCCCCGCGTTTCGAGTGCTTCGTCGCTATGGGGGGCACCAGCTCCGTGGCTGTGGGCGGCGAGCACCGGGTTCGCCTGGCGGCGCCTCGGACGTCGAGACGGGCGGGGTCTGGGCCACTGGGTGCCGTCGCAAGTTCACTTTGCATTTTGTTGAAAGTATGTGCAATTGATGAATTCATAGTCGGTTTCAATAGGTTTCATTTCACTAGGTTTTCAGGAATGAATTCAATGATTCAATAAGTATTTACGTGATGGGCTTCCAATGATTGATGATAGATATGGTATCGTTTAAGATAGTTTCAAAGCAAGATAATGTGGAGAGCCGTGTCCTTAAAAGAAAAGACAAAACAGGTTGGCGGTTTTGTCTTGCCGGTGTTTTCTTCTCTTTGAGACTTAGGCATATAACTTGTTGGTGGCTGGCCACTCAACATGAAAGCACTGCTTAGTGACAGCTTTTGGGTGCAGTACGTAGGTGGGTGGGCCTGCTTGGTCGGGCTGGTTGGCTGCAGCTATTCTGAATGCAGCGGCACATCCTTTGGGACGGGTACGCCTCACGTTTCCAGGGCAAATGAAAATCATTTCTTGGGTTCCCATATTTTGACAGCCCTTCTTTTGCTGGCCCATCGGACATTGAATTGACAGGGGTGCCCCCTGAACTTGGCATCGTGCTTCCTTCGAGAGCCTCCCAAAGGCTCCAACTCGCTACCTGCCGCCAAAGGCGGCTGGTACCGGAACAAGGCAAGACTTACCCCCTCAGTGTTTCGCATGGACAGCCTTTCCGTTAGAACACGAGGCGAAAGGACAACCAACCATGGGGAGCCGCTTGAGACCCGCGCATCCTTTGGGCACGCAGTTGCTTGAGGTGGCTGTGAGTAAAAAATAGGTACCCAAAGTGAGCGGAACCTTAGTAGATGGAAACATGGACTAAAACCTGCGGTCTTCCAGTGGTTTAATTTTGACCCGCACCCAGGTGGCAAATTGAGGCCCCGAAGCCAAACACTCACTCCTGCCGAGCTGGGACGGTTTTTTTCTGCACCCGATGAGTTCAGCCGCAATTCAGCCGAGCTGCTGGAGCGAGGCCTACCGAGTTTCTTCACCAAGGTAAAGGTTTGATGTGGCGAAGGGTTCGATTTGACGGGTAGGTGAACTCGCTGATCGGCGCAGCCACCGGCTGCTGGTCGCAGGCGGGGTGCGTTTCGCTCGATGTAAGTTGAGCTGTGTGGAACATTTCAGACGTTACGCGCTCAACCCGATTCAAGTTGGTCTCCTGCTTCGATCTCATGGCTTGATGGTTCAAATTCCGGCCCAGAAGGCTCCCAGATTTGGGCGGATCATGTGGACATCTTGGAGATCTGGATCCCTTAGGCTCGCGGCTTCGGCTTCGGCTGGATGCGTTGCCCTCACCATCCTCTTCGAATAAGCCGAGAGCGGCAACTCCAGAAGAGGGCTTCTCCATATGGGCCATGGACTTGTAGGGAACCACCTCAACAGTGATTCATGAAAAAAAAATCCCCATAAAAAAATGATGTCCAAAGGGTTTCCTTATGAAAATTCATCGCCATATGGCTGTGGCTCAAAAAACCGGTACCAAAATGGAGCCCTGGTAAGAGGAAACATGGACCAAAACCTGCGGTTTGCCCCTCCGATCGTTTAATTTTGAGCCACAGCCATATGAGCCTGTTGCCCAGGGGGCCTATTCCCAAGGGTCAGCGGATCTCCGGCTGATCTTGGTCAGGATGCCTACCACACGGCGGTGGTCGTGGATGAGTTCGAGCGCCCCACGGAAGGTCCACTTTTTTTGCTAGAAGGTTGGACAGGTTTACTGGATCCTGTTGCTTCGAAGCCCAGCGTTGCAAAAAGAACACATGTCCGGCAGTTTTTTCATTTGGTGGGACATATCATCTTAGTGGTTTTCCAACCAATCGTCATCCCATGTGATCAAGTTGCATGAGAAAAAAAAGGATCCCACGGTTCTGTTGGCCTTTTTCCGCACCCGAGCTTTCCATAGGTACAGCTTTTCTCCCATGGGCGTCGTCAAGCAGCGGCTGACAAGCGCCACTGACTGCACGCTGGTGGAGGTTGGCATGAGTACGATGTCAGGACCTGAATACTTGCTCGATGACGTATTTTCGACCTTCAGCTGCCTGGTTGTCGTTGTTTGCCTTCCTCTCTCCATGCTGCGATCTTTCTCCGTTTGCTCTTTCTCTTGATTTCTTCTTCCCCTTTGTCTGTCTTCCTTTTTCGTCCCTCTTCTTCCTTCTTCTTTCTTTCTCTGATTCTCTTTTCTTCCCTTTTACTTGTTATTTCTCGTTCTTTCTATTCCTTTCTTGCTTTCTTCATTGGCCTCGTGCACTCCAGCTTCGCCGGAGTCTTCGTTTCCGTCCTTTCTCCCTCCTTCTTCTGCCTTTTTCCCCAAATCTTCTGTTTTTTTTCCGTTTCTCCTCTCCCTTTGTCTTCCTCTGTCGCCCGCCCTTCTTCCTTGTCCTTTCCGTCCTTCGCTTTTCTTCTTCCTTAGTTCAGCTCTTCACCTGGGGGTGGGTGGCTGGTAGCTGTCAGCCACTTGGGGATGTTGCCCAGCCAGGTTGTCCGACAACTTGGGCTTGGACAATCAGGGGCTGATCAGGCCCCCACATGACATTGGGTAACTTTTCCCATTTAGTGGGAATATCATTTTTGTTAATCCTATGTAAAGGATCTTTTGATCAACCCCCAGGGACAGTTTTTGGCAGTTGCGTAGCCCAGTCACACGTCTTGGTGGTTGGTTGGATTTGATTCCAGGACAATGCTGAGGCTGAGACATCCTTGGATGTAGTCTGGATCTGGCATTGCACGGCTTTTGCGCCACCGGAAAACCTGTTTGGACTTGAGTGATCAGCGGTATAGCATTTTTTCTAAAACTTCTGATTCAAGTTGATGTCGCTTTGGTCCTTAAACGGCAAAGGTGGGATTGGCTTGCAAGAGGTCGGTTTTCTTATGCTATAGCCACCGTGACAATGACGTTTAATTATTTGGGGCTGTTTCGCTGTATGTCCAACCACAAGTGCTGTCAGGGTACACGGCGAAGCCAGGCCGGTTTGAAGTAGCGCACGCGTGCTGGTCAACAGATGTGCGTCTCGCGGGTGTTGGGAAGCTGAACAAGCGGAGCCTTGGCCATTTGCTGCTTGGATCCCCGATCCGTTTGCAAAACACACCGCCGAGACTCGCAAGCATGACTGTCCCTGCCACCCTTTTAGCATTGTATCCCACGCACCGCTTCAAACTGGGCATTTACAAGCGCGTTTGCGGCGCAAGCGTCTGCAAATATGGTCGCAGGTGGCTGCTGCGCATGCGAGCGAGAACACTGCGCAATCTCACCACTCTTCCGGCAGCCACAAGCACGCAGATGCGTGGCTCCCGACGAGCTGATGCAGCATTTAACTCCTTTTTTGGGAAAGCTCGTTGCCCCTCTGCGGTTATGCATTCATGTGCAAAATAGCAAGTGAGCCACCATCAAAACCCGGGTAGTTGAATGTTAGTCAGGGCTCAACCAGAAATGGGTGCAGCCGCCTTGGTAACTCTTTACGTGGTTTTGGGTTCACGATTGTGTTACCTGGTTTTGATTGTGACTCAAGTGGAC